CAAGCATCAGGTATGTGGAGTTCCGCTGAGTTTCCACATCCTGCATGATTTTGTGCTGTGGGATGTTCAGCTTTGCCAGTTTGTCCCACAGCATCTTGGCCCTCTTGATGCTCCGGTGGAAGTAGTCTGCCACCTTCCTGCATTTGGAAATGAGCTTGCTGGTGGTGCTGGCACTGTCACTGGCAGCCCTGTCCCTCTCCAAGGCATCCCTGACAATGAGGTGGAACTTGTCTTGGCATCACAGGCTGCCTTGACCATATTGTCCCCATTGTCAGTGACCATGAACCCACAGATGAGCTCACCCTGCCCAATGAACCACCCCTGCACCTAGCAGTTCATGGCCCCCATGATCTCTGTTGCTCTGTGGGACTCATCCATCACCTCAGCTTGAAGGAGAGTCTGCCGACAGCCTGACTAGACGCACCAGGGCCTTGTGAGGGAGAGGTATCCATGATCTCCACCCTGGCTTCTCCAGATGTCTGAGGTGAAGTGTAAAGCCACCTGCAGACTTGCCTAGCACAGCTCCTCCCTCAAGTACTCCCTGCATGTGTCATACAGGGAGGGCACCACCATCCTACCAAAGGTGGTGCATGCAGGCACTTGGTATGATGGGGCCATGAATGGCATGAGCCACATGAACCCTGGCTGCTCAACTAAGGAGAAGGGCTGGCCATCGCCTTTGCAATGTGCCCCTCTTTCTGTCTGCCTTTCCCCCACTGTTCCAGGGTGGCCTGCCTCTGCTTTGAGAGGATGGGGGTTTTGGAGTGAGAGGGGGACTTCCCTATGGGCATGCTCCCACTGGTGCCAGGCTGAGGAGGAGCAAGGACAAGGAGGTGATGCCTGAGGAGATTCATCAACATACTTGTGGTTCTCATGTGTTTTGTTCCCTTGCCCCGGCTGGTTTTGGCTCGGCAGTGCAGGCAGATAGCGTATCTGGGATCATCTGCCAGCTCAAAATGATCCCAGACCACACTACCCACTCGCTTCTGGGGTGCAGGTGCATGAGTGGATGCTGCCTTTTCCCCCTTCCTCAGCAGGCAGAGGCACATCAACAGGAGGAGTGGACTCAGCTGAGCCACTTGCCTCTACAACCTCTACCTCAACCTCCTCCAAAGTGCCTTCTGGAGAAGGAGACCTGGCTCTAGGGGAAACTTGTGAGGTGTGGAGCACAAACTCAGTTGATTCCCCCTCCTTCCCCAGAATTACCCTTGCTAGGTCACTCAGATCCAGCTCCAGCTCTTCCTCTGGCACTGGAAGGCTCAACATGGGAAGTGAAATGGGGGTGGAGGAGACTGTAATGCTGGTGCTGGTGCTTGTTGTCATGGTGGTAGTGGGGTGGGGGGTTATGGCTGGTGTTCTTGGAGGGGATGCAGAATCAGGCACAGGCAGTGGCACTGGCACTGCTCCCCTCTCCTTGCTGCGTGTAGAACTAGTGGAAGCCTCATGCCTGCTAGCTGTAGTAAAGAGGCTGCATCTCAGTTTGCTGGGGTGGGGGGTTGGGGGTGGAGAAACTTACACTTCTCCCTCTACCCCCTCTTCCACCCCTCCCTGAAGGCTTGCCAGCTGCCTTTCCAGCACGCTTCATGGTGTGTTTCATAGTGTCCTGTCTTTGCCTTAGTGTGCTGGAAATTCTGTGTTTTCTTCTGTAATGTAATCTGATTTATGTAATATATGTAGATAAGATAATTGTATGCATGTGTATTTATGTAATGCATGTATTTATGTAATAAATAAAAATATATACATGTATGTATGTGTTCCTATATACATTTTATACTGTAATATGCAATATAATTATGCTACGTTTCCCTGCACATTGAAAGGAATGCACACTGTGAGAGAAAGCATGGATTAAAAAAGAATCAAAATAGACTAACAAAAACAGAAAGAGAATTTTGGGGGAGGAATAAATTGAAAGGAATCAATGCATATAATAATAAAATAAAAGGGTATAGAAAGCAAAAGGTATTGATGAATCCTACTTGCTAACATTTGTTGTGTGACACTGCTGAGCTTCTGGAAGACAGCTTAGTAACTGACCCCAAGGCAGAAAGCAGGCCAGTTCAAATAATGTTTTTTATGCTGTTTTTCCATCCCTCCCCCAGAGCACTGGAATTGGAAGGGACCTCAGGGAACGATGACAGTCACTGGTCAGCTACATGGTCATATCAGAGCAGTCCTTCCTCACTCTTCCTCCTCCCTCTCCTTACTTTCTGTTCCCCCGCAGGCAAGTCCAGCTTCAGCTTCAAAACTTTCGAAATGTTGTGACTGCCCTCATTTCGTTTCAAGGCTGTTTTGAAGCCCTTTGTTTCATTTCGGGGTCACTGTTTCGAGCTCAAAATGAGTCAAAATACTGTCGAAATGAAACAGCCGGTGAAATTTTGCACAGCCCTCATGTGAAGCTGTTAATAGGGATGGAAGAGTACACATTGGTATCTAGGCCAAACCTCTAGATGAATACTTACCCTTGCGCTTCCAGAGGTGGAGGAGAATGGGTGAACACTAGTTTTTCACTTGTTGTTCTTACTGGGTTATTTCCCCAGAATAACATGTCTCTTAAAAATTATTTCTGAAAAAGTACTCTTTTTCCTTGTCTGTTAACAACATGAGACACCAGGAAGGCTGACAGCCTCAGTACCAGGCACATCCATCTCCCTGAAACACTGCAATTCCTGCATTCCAGAAACTATCCTAGGATATGTTACAGGGTTTTTAAAGGTACCAAAAACAATCTGCAGTTATAACAGTCTTTCCCCTGTCTTACATGAACACAGGGCCTGATTCTTGATGCTGCTAATGCCCCTTTATACCATTTTGGAAGCATAAAAGTGCTTTACAGTTAGCTGAACATACGCTCTGTACAGAGGCTTTCCTGACAGCAAAGCTCTCTATGTCAGCTCTACACTTAGCTATTAGATTAGGAAACAGTTATGAGTGTCAAGGTTTGCACTACAGTATTATTATTTTAGCTTTCAAGGTACCACTGGAAAATCAGACATTCCCTTATAACTAAGGG